TATTGTTTTCTATTAATTACCACACAACATAAAAATTAAAATTTACATAAAATGAAAATTAAAAAATTGTACAATACAATAAAATAAATAGATACTAGAAGAACTAAAATTAAAAAATTGATACAAAAATTAATATAAATATTTCCAACGTTAAAATTGATTAAAATTCTAGATAAATCATACATCATTTTAAGTACATAAACAATATACATCTTTTAAGTACAAAAAAAATATGAATATACGGTAAAGATTATGTTTATTTCATAAACTTGAAAATTTTATAAAACAATCACATAAAAGAATAAATGATTAAAATTATAGATAAATAAATAACATGAGACAATTTTAAATGAATAGAAATCAAATGATGACGAATGTTTGAGGCGAAGTAATAAAGTGATTAAAATGAGGGTTGGAAATAGAAACTATGATTAGATAGTGAAAAAATTGACATTTTCTGGAAGATATGAACAGCTTCAAGCTATATGTGAGCAAAGAGAAAGTGAAAAAAGATTAGATCTAGGAAGGAGAATAAGTGTGTTTTAGAAGGTGTAGAAAGTTAAATGAGATAAACAAGTGTTTTAGAGATCAAATAATGTTGGCAAGAGACTATATAAAATTTTCATATTTTTTTTACTATGTGAAATGAATGGTTTTTTAATAAAAATACTCTACATATATTAGTAGACTAGGTTATCGGAAAAAACATTTTAAGTTGATAAAAAAATATTCTTATTATATGATGTGTTTGTTTTAATTGGTAAAACGTACTCGCCGAATCCGTTGTGGTTGTATAGAATTACCTTCTAAAATTCAAATTATTAGATTTTTATTTCATGATATATTTTTGACATATTAAAAAAGATATCTCACGCAACGCATGGATATAAATCTACGATAATTAAGTATCAACTATCATTTGGTGGGGATGTCTAATTATATCAACTAAATTTAAATCAAAGAAGATAGAAGAGGAAACATTCAAAAAACAGATGAAAAGGAATCTGTGGAAGAATAAAACACTCAAATGTTTTTTGAGAATTTTTATATGACAAAGCGCGTTGCTTCTTTCGTTTTCCTTCTTTGTGGAATATATTCAACAGCTTCAAGCTATATTATAAAAATTAGGACGTTTTTCATACAAATGGCCCAATCGTCTTTGGTAATCTTTTAGCTTATAAACTGCATTTTTTAGCTATAATCAAAGCATAATTAAGTAATACACCACCAACAAAGTACATTATCGAATTTGACAGGGAATCTGAAAGAGAGAGAAAAGTTTGATTCTTTTCGGATTTGAACGAGTTTTTCTTGACTGGTTTTCATATTTTGATTCTTTTTGCTTTTTTTAACATAATTGTAAATCATCACACCGATCATTACCATAACCGTTTGGAACTGAACGATAAAAGATGAAGAAGTGTTATGAAAAACTATCTACTCTTTGAGGGCACATTTTCTAATTTTTTTTTAGGCAATTGCAAAAATGCTACTTTTGGTATATACATTTGCAAAAATGTCATTTAGGAGTGTTCATTTACAAAAAAAAAAAATTTTAAAAATACCATTTTTCAAGTGCCACTTTTCAAAAATGTCACATTTTCAAAATCTTTGCAAAAATAACACTTTTTCAACAAAAAAGTTCATTATATCATTTATGTTTGGGATAATTATAAAAATACCATTTTTTAGTGCACATTTGCAAGAATGCCACTTAGGGGTGTCCATTTACAAAATTGCCACTAATTATACATTTATAAAGCCTATATCTTAAAATTCTAAACCTTAAAAAATGTTTTGACACCTAAAACCCCCTAAACACTCAAAACTAAACCCTAATAGAACATAATTAACCCAAACATAAATAATATAAAGAAAAAAACAATTTTGAAACAGTGGCATTTTTGTAAAAAATTCAAAAGTGTGGCATTTTTGTAAGGGGCAATTACAAAAATGCCACTTTTTGTGTGCATATTTGCAAAAATGTCACTTAGGGGTGTCCATTTACAAAAATGCCACTTTGTAGATTTATAAAGTCTATATCTTAAAATTTTAAACCCTAAAAAATGTTTTGACACTTAAAACCCCCTAGACACTCAAAACTAAACTCTAATAAAACATAATTAATCCAAACATAAATAATATAAAGAAAAAATAATTTTGAAAAAGTGGCATTTTTGTAAAGATTTCAAAAGTGTGGCATTTTTGTAAATGGCACTTGAAAAATGGTATTTTTTGAAATTTCTCTTTTTGTGTAAAGTGGCACTCGAAAAGTGGCATTTTTTGAAATTTCTC